ATCAGCTTTGATGACCAGCTATAAAATCTGTTTTATCTTATTTCTGGCATCCTGCCCATGTACTACTGCTCTGATTAAGAAACAGTTTGCACTGACTACCAGGTAAGTTATCTATACCTTTGTCAATTTGCATTATAAATAATAAAAAAGAGAAACAGCAGCTCATGTTCATTGCCACCCATGGCCATTTTCCCCATCCGCTCATGACAGTATGATATATGGTAAGTAAAAAGCCAAAAGTATACAAAAGCAAAAAGGAACAAATGCGCTCTATAGTATAAATCTGTATCTCCTACCTCAGCTCGACCTTCATAATATGTTAGCATAGACTTTGTAAGTACAAAAAGCCTCTCTTTATAGTTTAAAGGAGAAGTCCTCTTCTTCTGCTGTGATCTTTTAATCAAAATCTCTTGTAGGATAGTAGTCGTATTCATTTCAGCCACTTGTCAGCTCTGTTTCTAGCCATTGAATATCAGTTCCTGTGAAGACAAGAGGAATAAATCATTACAGTATATTTGGAGGATCACAGAGCTGGAGGTTTCTGTAGTAAAAAGAGCTGCTTCATATAAACGAAACTAACTGAATATACAGAAAGCTGGAGCTCACCCTAAGCATCTGGAAGTTTACAGAAGTTAATTATTAGACAAGAAAGTTCAGGCTTTGCTCAGCTGAGGGCTGCACTGGCACATTCCCAGGAAGCCAAAAGCTGTACCTGACCAGGATGAAATAAGGGACATTGCAGCCTACATCACAGAAAATAGGGGTGAGAACTCCAAAACATGCTCCAGACAAACAGCAGTGTATGACAGCTCTTCACAACAAAGTCCTAATGTGTATCAAAGTTTTAATTGCTAAGGTCTGTGCATATATAAATGCCATTTGCAAAAAAAGTTCAGTATACAAAATTGAACGTGGATCAGTAAAACTAATTTTGAAAATTCACCCCAATTATATTAATGAAAATTTTCAGACACAAATGGTCATTTAGAAGATGTCAATCTGAGAACAGAGAATTAAAGATTATTTTTCAGGAAGTGCTAAGTATATGCCCTCTATCTTCTATATAGAAAGACTTCAGGCTGACCATCAACAATCCAAGTAATTTACTTCTGACAGTTCTGGTCGCTCAGTAACGTCAACCCGCTTTAAAGGTTTACACCATGATTGCTACCTGTAGGACAGGCTTAGGAGTACACAAAAACGAACGCACCCACAGTTACTTTGTTTGCAAATCTGGCTCCAGCATCCTGCCAGAGACATTGTCAGGCAATCTCTCTGTTCTTTCCAACGATGCCGGCTTAAACACAGCTGACCTCCTCCCTCATCCGCCTGCTGCCGCCCCACTGTGCCACCCTGCCTCGTGTGGGTGCCAGTGTTCCCCCGGCTGGGCTGGGGAAGGGATCCAACCAGACGTTTCATCATGCAGCACAGACTGCTGCCTGCACAGGCTTAACACATGAGGGGGCACGGAGGCAGGAATGAAAGATGGGGGAGAGACTGTGGAGAAGCCGTTCCAGAAACCTTCTTCCCCGCCATTACCTCTCCCTTTGCTCGCGTTCTGCCAGACTGTCTGGCCCTCGCCTCGAGCGGTGCTCGGTGCTCCGAAGCCAAGGCAAGCTGCAGGCACACACCTCCACCACAGCTCGGGCTAGAGCAGCATGGCTGGAGGCTGAAGCCGTGGCTTGAAGAAGGAACAGCAGCAGCATCTGCTGAAGCACCAGTGACTACGAATATCTTCTCAAGTATGCGTGTATGTGTAGAAGGAGCAGGGGGATAACCCAAGCCAAAGCCCTAGATAATCACTGCAGATCTCTGTACCAGTAGGAAATTTCCCTCCAACATATTAAAAAAAAAAAGCCACCAAAACCTTTTTTTCATTTCTCACAGGGCTTAATTTATGCACCTATCTACTATTTAGAGTATTACAAAATTCACCAGGGAAACGTATGTACAGTTTTCTCTGCGGGCAACGTAACTTCGGCATGGACAAAATAGTGCATTTCACAGCATTGCGCAGAGAAGCTTGAAAAGCCACAGGCCTCCTCACAACATTACCTTACAAAAGCGAAGGTTAAATAAAAATAAATGTAAACAAATTCACTTCAGTGCCTCTCCTTTTGCTTTGTGCCTAAACATGTCATTATTTGTTGTAACAGTACATGAAATGACACCCTTTGCCTTCCAGTCTAGTCCTGATACTGCGTTTCACTCCCTGTTTTGGCCAACTAAGCTCTTGTATCCCACACTCCTGCCATATTCACACAGCTGGATGTAATTGTTTACTGCTTTAAAATATCCTTTTCTTTTCAAGGTGTATATCTGCATATGCTAAAAAAATTAGTCTGTGGTGTACATGGAACTATGAAATAAGACCAGGTTAGGATGCATAAGAAAAAGGCTATATTAGGATTGGAAATGGTGATTATTATGAATAATCTCTTTTTATTTTTCCTCTTCCTCTGATGCATGTACACGCATACGTTTTGTTGGTCATCTGTCACATTGCATTCCTGGGAAGAAGACAGTTAGTAATTGTCTTGAGTGCATTCCTTAATTACTAAAGCTGCCCAATTCTGGTTTATTGCCCTTCTAAAAATAAATTGGCAATCTCAAAGGTAATTGCAGAAGGAAGGATACTACCATGAACTGAAAATACAAACATTGTTCAAAGAATTAAAAGTCACTATTAACTTTCAGACCACCTTAATATCCACGAAACTATAAGGGTTTCACAGGCTCTCCCACTCAAAACAATCCTTCTGTTCTCCGTAGCACAAATTTGTAGGCACTTAAGAAAAACATCATTATTATCCATCTTAGAAATTGTGATCTCAGAGATCCCCAAAATGCTACACTAGAGAGCACAAGAAGGATTCAAAATTAACTATGATTTCAAATCTCAATACTGATAATGCTAAAATATTTCATTTCCCTACCAGCCCCCTTTGGTCACATTAAGATTATATAGCAAACAAAACAAAAATCCTTTTGACAAAATCAGCATTAAAAAATAAACTCATCAATACTGTAATTGGTCAATGTCTGCACCTGGTTGCTATACTGAATTATCTCTGCTATGGAGATCTCTGCAGATTAGAACCGGTTTCCCAGGTCAGAAGATCAGCTTTTGAATCTGCATTTGGTCACAGAAACCTGTTTTGTTCAGGGGTTTTTCCAAGGCAATGGCTCTAGCCACATTTCTGCTTCCATAAATAAGGCTCAGGACAACTGAACCCTCACCTATTATTCTGAAAGTTCCTTTCCAAAATTGCAATACTTCATTGAGAAGCACCTGTAACAACCACCCTTGCCTCTTATCAAACCTATACATCCCTACTTTTTCTTCAGTACAGTTTTAGAAATGTTCTGCAGTTTTCCCCCCAAATATTCCAGTGTTCCCAGACCATCCCTCAGGACACGAAGCTGTTTTCATGACACATTGTTACCTCGTTACAAACAGCTAGGGGAGTTTCATGCTGCCACCCATCTAAACTTCTCACAGCATCGCTCCTGCCAAAGACTTGCCCTGTTCCCTGCCAACCCTAGTTACACAATAACAAATATGATCTAATTTGCAGAGATGCCAAGTACTCAGAATTATGACTGAAATCAGAAAGAGTTACAGATTCTCAGCTTTTTTTTAGGGCAGGAAAACATTCACAACTTTAAGTATCAAAAAGTATGCATCAACTTGCACTATCCATCCTCACATTATACAAATATTCACCTGTATGTCCATGAAGTCACCACACACCTTCCTCTCCTCAGAACAAATGAGAACAACTGTTAAGATAAATCTGCCACGTCGATATTGGTCAAGATGTACAAAGTAAGTTTTTACTTGTAGACAGAGCTTCTGACACACGCCACCTTTCCTGGATTTCACTGGGGAAAACGGAGGCACTAAGTGATGAGGTAACCCCAGCAGTTGCAACACGACACACATACCTCCTGGTTCCCACTCCCAGCTCACGGATTGTGTTTGTTTATTGAAACAATTAGTCACCATAAACCGGTCGGTAAGCATTTGTAACCTTCAAACAGTTGAATAAATGTATGAAAGTACCAGTGGAAGTTCTACTGAGTAGAAAAGAGAAAGTGCATCCCAATCTGACCAGGGCTTCTCTGATCCTAACGCACTAAGTAATTGTGACTTTTTATGGCACAAAGCTTTTTTGTCACACATAGTCATGGAGTGGTTCACAAAAAAAAGGCATTCTGAAAAACACACTTACCACAGCAGTCATAAAACAAATACCAACAGAAAACATTTGTGTGGGGCTGAACACAAAAATAAAACCAAGCTGGAACTCTGGTTTCTGAGTTTCAACCCCTCCTTATTGATGGTAACATTTACCTAGGAATTTGGGTTCTTCAGTGCAAAGTCTTAATACTAAGCTGATGGGCTGCCATTCAAGTCGGAGAATCCCCCTAAGAAACTGACATCCTCAGCTTTCTGACTTGGGTTTTGTGAATCCTGCACAACTGCTCTTTTTCAGATTTTGGGTTTATCAATCCAAACTGGTAGCAATTCCAGGTCTGTGTATTTAACATTGAAAACATATCACCTAATGCAGTACATTAATTAAAATGATGTAATATTAGATAATTCAATTTTTTAAAAAAAGTAAATTATAAGTACACAGGTAGTACCTTGTAATTCTGACTCAAATCTGTAACCCTTCCAGAATATGGTTTTTTCTTTTTTTTTTTAATTCAATTTACTGATCAAGTTCATAATGTGCCCCTGCAAATGGCTGCAGTGGGGTAAGCGAACAGGCAGCACACTGCAGTTCTGGGTAGAGAGCAGAAACAGTGCAGAAGGAAGAAGAAAAGGAGAACTCCTGACCCTGTTTTTTCTGCTGAAGCTGATGTTGCTTTATCATGAAACTACAAACCAAGTCACATGTGAATAGTTACTTATATCCAGCACAGACTTGCTTATTTGAATAATTACTACTCAGTGTAAGCAAGGATTGCAAAATCTGCTCTTGTGCTTCATATGGTAGAAAAGTCTTTTTGCCCTACATCTTAAGGTTGTGGATTCAAACTCTAAAAAATAAAAGACAACTGAATAAAAGACAAATGTTATTAACCCCTGTTCAAATGGTAAATTTCACAGAAATACAAATACAGAAAAATGTACTTTAGCATAATCTGTCATAATTTTAAAATTGGAATTGAGGGGGGAAATACTGTAATGATATCTGAAATGTATCATATGCCAGAAAAAGGAGAAGTAAAAAATACTGGGATTTGCTTTTTTTCTCCTCTCTTTTTTTTTCTCTGAGCAGACTCTCAGAAACCACTTCTATCATATGCAACCTATTTTATTATTTTTTGGTAACTGAGAGAAATGCAATCTTTGGGGCCTACTTTCAAATAGATTTCAAAATTATACCCAAAGGTTTGCAAAACCCTGGTCTGTGAAAATCAGCCAAAGAATAACTGGCTAATTTTATATATAATCAGACCCTGT